GTCAACTTCCGGTTAAGAATGTCAACGTCAATTTTGACATATTTGTAATCGTGAAAAATCCTTTAAAATGAGTCCAAACATGATACGTTTAATTCCAATAATACTCGAAATATAAGCAACTTCCGGTTTGAAATGTCAATGTCATTTTGACATATTCTTAATTTTTATAAAATGTCTTAATATTTGTCATAAAAACAAAAATATAATAAAAAGAAATAAAAAAATTAAGGTTGGTATTAATATTTAAAAATTAAATTGCTATGTTCATTGTTGCTAATTTCGGGTTTAATGTTTTTTATTCTAACTTTTTTGTTTTTTGAGATAATCTTTGGACTCAATTTAAAGGTTTTTTAATGAAGATGACAAATATGTTAAAATTGACGTTGACGTTTCAAACCGGAAGTAATTGTGTTTCCATTAATATTAAAGTTAAATATGTCGAGTTTGGAATTATTTTAAAGGATTTTTTATGAAGTTGCCAAATATGTCAAAATTAAAAGTTGAAAGTTCGAATTTTTTGGTTTTTAGAGATAAATGCCTCAAGTTTGGACTCACTTTATTTCGCCTCAAATCACCGAGGTCGCTTGCGGGGGAGGAAAGATTCTAACTAGTTATTTTTAAATTTAATAAAATAGAGGTTGGTAGCCCTTTCTATCATTTCGATTTTTTTGACATTTCTTGTCAAGTTTTAATTAATTTATTATTAATTATCTAATAAGTGTTTTATTGTGTTTATTCTTCACGAATCGATCCTTTTTAGTTATAATTCAGTAAGTAAATAGTTTTTATCGACATGAAACTCTTTTCTAAAATAATCTTTGCTTTAATTAATCTTGGGTTGAGATTAAAAGAAATTACCAAGATTTTTGGTTTTATTAATGTAATTATCACTTCAATTTTTTAGTTGAATAACAATTTAAATTATAAATTAATAATTTCATTAATAATATTACTCTAAAAATTAGTTATTTTTAAATTTGATAAAATTGAGGTTGGTAGCCCTTCCTATCATTTCGATTTTTGACAGAATCAAGTTTTAATTAATTTATTATTAATTATCTAATTATTAAGTGTTTTATTGTGTTTATTCTTCACGAATCGATCCTTTTTAGTTACAACTCAGTAAGTGAATAGTTTTTATGGACTTGAAATTCTTTTCTAAAATAATCTTTGCTTTAATTAATCTTGGGTTGAGATTAAAAGAAATTACCAAGATTTTTGCTTTTATTAATGTAATTATCACTTCAATTTTTTAGTTGAATAACAATTTAAATTATAAATTAATAATTTCATTAATAATATTACTCTAAAAATTAGTTATTTTTAAATTTGATAAAATTGAGGTTGGTAGCCCTTCCTATCATTTCGATTTTTGACAGAATCAAGTTTTAATTAATTTATTATTAATTATCTAATTATTAAGTGTTTTATTGTGTTTATTCTTCACGAATCGATCCTTTTTAGTTACAACTCAGTAAGTGAATAGTTTTTATGGACTTGAAATTCTTTTTTAAAATAATCTTTGCTTTAATTAATCTTGGGTTGAGATTAAAAGAAATTACCAAGATTTTTGGTTTTATTAATGTAATTATCACTTCAATTTTTTAGTTGAATAACAATTTAAATTATAAATTAATAATTTCATTAATAATATTTCTCTAAAAATTAGTTATTTTTAAATTTGATAAAATTGAGGTTGGTAGCCCTTTCTATCATTTCGATTTTTTTGACAGAAACGGTTTCTTGTCAAGTTTTAATTAATTTATTATTAATTATCTTAATTGTTAAGTGTTTTATTGTGTTTATTCTTCACGAATCGATCCTTTTTAGTTATAACTCGGTAAGTAAATAGTTTTTATCGACATGAAATTTTAATTAATCTTGGTGTACTTGAAATCGTATAACATGATTGGCGCTTAGCTTTACCCTTTCAAACAAAAAGTGTTTTAGGTCTTTCGGTATTCTGCATTTTTTCTAAAATAAGTTGGACACCTTTACCTACCAGACAGCATGAAAATCTCTTAAAATGATAAAATGTCGCTTAGTCAAGTGATGTATAACAACGCGGTCCAATTATCAAGTTGATTTCGAATTTGTAAGGAATCGAAATGCGAAATTGTTGGAAAATGTAACCAACGCGATTCTCTGTATGCACGTGTAATGAAGCGACACAAACGCCACCTTCAATGCACCTACACACACAAATACAGACACAAATAGAAATCGAGAAAGATAGAGAGACGTTACGGGAAGCGATGCGATGGGTAGTGATCGAGAAAGATGGAAAGCGAGAGTGACGGAGATGGCGAGATCGAATGTGATTGTTGGGCGCCGCGACGCCGACGCCGCCATAAGCGGCCATAAATCATAACGCGCCCGCCGGCAACGGCAACGGCCCGGAACCCGACGTAGTACATCGCGTCGCACCAGAGACGAGTCCGGAATTTAATTAAAACAATTGCCAACTGTAACGAAGTAATTTACAGGCGCAAGTTAACGTCGAGGAGGTTGGTTGTCCTGGTTGGGTGACGTGTTATTGTTTTTTTTTTTAGTTCATTCTCATTTTAAGATAAGTATCTTAAATATTTATTAATTTTAATTATATTTTCGCCTGTCATTGTTATGTCAAATGAACTTATGTCAATACACCTAATATACAAAATTCCTAATATCGAAATATTCCAACACCTTTGACAGAAGGAAAATTTCGTTTTCCAGACAGAATTTGCTTTAATTCATTTAAATCAGTTCGATTTATAAACTTATTCGTGTTTAGTTTAACTTAAAAGTTTTCACTTCATTTCCAAAGACCTTGAAACTTACCTACTTACAACTTTTTCCATCGACTAATTTTTCTGGAGATTCGAATTTCGCTGTTTCGGGTTCTAACTCGAGTCATTCTTGTCAAATCTAAATAAATCGCACCAACAATCGATTCGAAACCTAGCTAAAACCCACCTAGAGTTCAGAGATATCTACCTCGCCCCGGAAAAAAAGCAATTGGTTACGAATGTTCAAAAAGAATTAGAAACGAAATGGAAAGGATTGATCAAAAGAAAAGGACGGCGCAAGGTAAAAGGGAATGATTTGAGAAATGCGACATGGGACCATGAGATCATTTTATGGAGTACAGAAACTAAACTGCTTTGCAAGAGACCAGGTCGTGTATACTAAAGAAAAGCATCCATGCAGAGAGCCTGATACTGTTCCCTTTATAAAGATCTTTATAAAGTCGATATAGATACATTGATGATGAAGAAGTCTGCACGAGGCATGTATTCCGTTTTATGAAATTGGTCGAACATTGAATCGAAACTCTTCAACAGTGCTTCGAGCATGCGACTAACGAACGTGATGATCGTCGCCTTAGACAAATGAGTCTTAGAGATAAATTTCGTTCTTCGGCTGCAATTGGTGTTTACTGGATGAGAGATCTGAGGCAGATAATGTCGAATACTGACGAATTTGTTCAGTAAGGATTGAGCATTCTTTCAAGCAACTTTCCGACTGCACTCAGGAGGCATAGGGGTCAATATGACTGTACTTGACTAGGGTTCAGAAGTTTCTCAACCAACACTAATTAATACTATTTTAGATATTGTGCTCAAGTTCAAGAAGTTCCTTCCATTTCCTGTCTTTGCATTTCTTAATCATAGCTGTCATGATATACAACGGATATACTCATTACTTATTCTGTCAACTGCCATGACATTTAATTTTTTTATGTCAAATGAGCTAATGTACAAAATCTCTAATATCGAAATAGTCTAAGTACAACTTTCTCAACATAAAACATTAATCTTAAAATTATTTAAATTCATCGTATAAAATAAAATCAAGTCTCAATTTTAATTAAGATGCCTTTTTACGTCGACCAGATGTTGCGTTGAAAAGTAAATAACGAAACTTTCACTTCTTTATCTTCATCTTAAAGCAAAAAATTATTTAAGCTATCCTCTAATTCTAACTAGATACTTCCGGTTAAAATAATAATCCAGGAAACGAGTTCAACCCATCATGTTGTAGTGGTTTAATATTGAATTTGGTTGGAACGAATTGCGCTTTCACCCGAGGATCATCTCGAATGATATCGAAAGATCACGAATATGCCTTGCGATTTCTAAATCCCTGAACCATCTCAAAAATCGAATCGGATTTAATTCTACCTGAAATAATAGCAGATATAATTTGATCTTTGGAAAGTTTTAGTTCTTATTGAAACATTTATGTTATGTAACGAAATAGCGCGATAATTTTACGACCGTTTTCAAAATTGAATAGAAACACAATCGAAATTTTAAGATCAATATGTAACTAACTGACCTACATAACAGTTGTTTTACAACTTTCACTCTAATAATAAATTGATACGATTTAGGATATAATCTTTGAATGAGAGCCACTCGATAAAGCAACTCGAAATGTAATAAATTTGGTCCAAAATCCGAACGGTCACACGATCCCATCAATATTAATGAGTGACGACCTCCGGTGGTAATCTCGGTTTTGCGCGGGTCTTCCTCCCACACGCCGATGATAATCGTCGATTTATATCGAATTTGGCACTGAATTGCTCCCATTAGATCTATCTGGTAGCAAATTTAATGAAACGTTTAAAACAACAATATAACTCTAACCCCAAAAAGATGTTCGGCATTCATTGAATTGTTTGAGTTTCACGGAATAACACCAAAACGTAGTCTTTCGCTTTCTCTGTCTCACCATTGTGCCAACAGACAATTTCTAAGCTCCTTCGTGTAACCCGGCCCTTTCTATATGTCTCTTCTACTGTATATGGAGATCACATTCATCCCCGTCTACTAGTTACACCCTTTTCCAAGTTGTCTGTCGGCAACCCTTATCATTTCAAAGGGACAACAATGACAAAACTGTGTTATGCAAATTGAACGAGTTGAAAAACGACTACAAATAAAGCCGTAATTGTTTTAATTGTGTTTGTTCCTTTTATTTATCCACCCTTTCTTTTTTTTTTGTTGCAGGTCGAGATACTCCGAGGATTCGCCGAAGAGTTGCTGCGGTTTATTGTCTATGAAACCGGGTTCGTTAAGATGGTTTATCGCGTTAATTGCTTTCGTGGCGGTTTGCTGTGTTCTCGTTGGTACCGTTTTGGGTGCAATGCGAACGTCGGGGAGGGATCATCTAACTGTATCGCTGCTTATGATTGGTAAGTTATTACATTTTTTTAATCAAAAAGGTTAAAATTGAAATAATCAGAAATTTTTAGTTTGATTTGATGTATCACACCATGTATACATCATAAAATTCACTTTTAAAAGTATAAACGTCAAAGTTTGTGTTTTGTTTTCGGCCATCTTGGATTTTTTAAGTATATAAAAATCGAAATATTCTAATTTGATGTATCACACTGTATATTTGTAATCAAATTCGTGATTACAGATACAGATGGCGTTAACTAACACTTTAGATTTCGGCCATCTTGGTTTTAAGTATTAGGATTTAACTTAGAAGAGTTGGTCTTAAAAGAGTAAAAATGTGTTTCCTGTTTTATATGCTCATATTATATAGGTAGCTTCTTTATGACGAGTTTACAATATAATTATGCAAAAAATAGTTAATTGGCAAAAATTCAAAAATGATTATCTCAAGAACGAATAGAGATTTTTAAAAATGGTTTAGTTCATAAGAAAGTACATACTTTCCTCTATAAGTGGACAAAGTTTCAATAAAGTATCTTAAGAATTACCCGCACTACCCCTGGGCTCACTTAGGCGGCCTGACGATAGTTTTACGGATTCTAGCAGAGCCTCGTTGGAGCTTCTAATGCAGACTCACTTCCCAGGAAGCCTGATGATGAGGGCCGATAATGCTACAGCGGGCTATTCCTGCAAGGCAAATACGGATTGGAGTGTGGCTAGAAAAGTCGTCACTTACACATCCGTGGACCAGGCAATTCAAACGTTTAAGCCGTTCAAATCGCCTGGAGAAGACAATATATTTCCTGCTTTGTTAAAGCAGGGGAGGTCTTTGTTGTTGCCAATTTTGGTAAAAATTTTCAGAGCGAGTGTCGCCTGGAAATATGTGCCGGCAGAATGGACTAAGGTACGGGTATCTTACATACCTAAAGCGGTCCCTACTTCTAATACCTTTCGACCCATCAGCCTAACGTCATTTCTGCTGAAAACCCTTGAAAAAGTTCTGGAACGCTGTATCCGTACGATGCCATTGGTATCTGGTCCACTGAGTCGCCACCAGTATGCTTATCAAGCGGGAAAATCAGCAGAATTGACTCTACACAACTTAGTTGGTAGAGTATCCAGGACGCTGCAGGATAAAGAAATCTTGGTTTGTGCGTTTCTGGATATAGAGGACGCAATACCACAATCTCTTGAAAGAGCTGCTCTTGACAGGGGAGTGGAAGCAACTATAGCGGGTTGGATCCGCAATATGCTAGATAGTAGAATAGTTTCTACTTCACTCCACGGTGATACGATACGCTTCAGGCCGGGAGGTGGCTGCCCGCAGGGAGGGGTGTTATCTCCCCTGCTTTGGTCCCTCCTAGTTGACGATCTGATTGCGATAGTCGAAGCCGTTGGTGTGGAAATACAAGCTTATGCTGATGACATTGTCGTTATGGTCAAAGGAACCTGTTTGCCGAGGATATCTAAAGTCCTCCAGGTGACCCTAGATACCATTTGCGCTTGGTGTAAGGGAGAGAACCTCTCAATAAACCCGCAAAAGACAATTGTTGTGCCCTTCACCAGGAAGCGAAAGTTGGATGGACTAATCCGCCCAACTATCCAAGGTGAAGAAATTCCTTTCTCAAAGGAAGTCAAATATCTAGGAGTAATCCTAGACAAAACCCTGTCATGGAATGGACATTTGCAGGGAGTTTTGCACAAAGCTAGACTATCCTTGTGGACTTGTCGCAGTCTTTGTGGAAAAAATTGGGGTCTTACCCCTGAAAGACTGTACTGGCTCTATGTGACTGTGGTTAGACCTATGATCACATACGGAGCAGCAGCCTGGTATAGGAAAGTCCGACAGACTTCAGTTATCAGTAAACTTTCACGAATTCAACGAGTAGCTGGATTGGCAATCTCTGGTGCGATAGGCACAACGCCAACTCTAGCAATGGAGGTTCTGCTTGGCCTATCTCCTCTGCATTTGCATATAGAGAAAGTGGCTAGAACAACCATTTACAGATTTAAGCAATATGCTCAAAACTGTTCCGACATGTCCTACCAATGGGCTGCGGAAGACATTATAAGCACTGATACTGTGCTATCAATGCCGTCAGATTTGGCGGTATCACTATCAGTGATTAATGCTCGATACCAGATTGTACTGCCTGAGCGGCAGTCCTGGATCGAAAATGAAAATTCTCTGGTTCGGGCAGACATTTGCTTGTACACAGATGGATCAAAAACGCCTGAAGGGGTAGGAGCAGGAGTATACTGCCAGACACCTCGAATTAAGCAAGCCTACAGCCTGGGTACGTACTGTACTGTATTCCAGGCGGAAGTATTTGCTATTGACATGGGTGCTAAAATCCTTCTTGAAAGAGGGGTGAAGAACATGACAGTACGAATTTTCTCAGACAGTCAAGCCGCTCTCCAGGCGCTGCAAGCCGTGAAAACGGTGTCGGCTCTGGTTAATGATTGTAAGAGAACATTAAACACACTGAGTTGTGATAACAGAGTCTCTCTGATCTGGGTCCCGGGTCACTCTGGGGTTGCTGGCAATGAAGCGGCAGATAAGCTAGCACGAGATGGCAGCGCTGAAGCGTTTGTGGGACCGGAACCAGCAGTTGGTGTATCATTTGCGATGGCCAAATATAGGATTGGACTGTGGGCTGAAGAGAGACTTCGCCTACTGTGGACCAGTTCTCCTGGAATGAGACATGCTAAGGTGTTTATTAACATCGCCACTGTCAAACCCGGGAATATTTTAGGACTTGCCCGTAGTAGCATAAAAGTTCTAATGGGTGTTTTTACTGGGCACTGCCGATTAAAAGCACACCTCAACTTGTTGGGTTTAGCCGACGATGTTGAATGCCGACTATGTGCGGAGGAAGCAGAGACGGTTGAGCATGTTTTATGCCACTGCCCTGCCGTTAACCGTATCAGATTCTCGATTTTTGGGTCGCAGTTTATCTCCTCAAAAGATCTGAATGACCTTTCGCCGAGCAAGGTATTAATGTTCGTTAAGAGCATTGGACTGCACGGTGAAATTTGATAACGATATCTATCGGGGTACAATAAATCCTTAGGGTCGCGGTGCAAGGTTGGTTGGTCCGCTTACCCGATATGTATTCTATGTAATGTAATCTTAAGAATTCGATTTTTCACGATTTTTTAAAACTACTTCCAACTACTTTTAAAACAACAAAATTCATCAAATTTTCATAATTTCGTATTTTTCTCAATATCTATTCATCTGAGAGCAAAAGTGCTAAAGAGCAATATTATTAGTAATAAAATTTGCTACAACTTTTGTTCTAAAAGTTTTTTTGTAGCAAGCTCCGATATCCGAGTGCTACCATGAACTACTTTGAAAACGACGAAATTCATAAAATTTTCATATTTTCGTATTTTTCTCAACATCTATGCATCTGAGAGCAAAAGTACAAGAGAGCTATATTGCTAAGTATAAAATTTGCTACAACTTTTATGCTAAAAGTTTTTTTGTAACATGCTCCGATATCCAAGTGTTACCATGATGTACTTTCAAAACAACGAAATTTATCCAATTTTCATATTTTCGTATTTAGAGGTTTCTCAACCAACACTAATTGAGCCTCTATCTTTGGATATCTTTCGAAAATTCAAGTAATCATTAAAGACATGCAGGAAGGCTCTTTCTGGTTCTTAATTGGGCAAGGGATCGTCTTGCTTCTCTATCTGTGGTATAACGGTGATCTTTTGCGGTTTTCTTAACTGTTACTTTGCTGTGTGCTCCAATACTTCTGTTTTCTATGGGCAGTATGAAATTCTTTTTATTACGCACTCTAGTTGACTTTTTGTTACTTCAACTTTCTTCTTTTTCACTTCCAAGTCCAGTATTCAGCAAACTCTTCTAAAGCAAGTGTTGGTCATTGATCTAGTGAGTCATATCCTCCTCAAGTCTTGTTTTTGCGTTGAAATCTCCGCAGATTTTATCGTCCGCTCTCAACTTTCCTTCCAACTTGTTAAAAAGTCTTTCAAATTCCGAATCTACTTGGTTTAGGAAAAAATGAACAGGCTAAAGGGTAAGGTAAAAGAAAGTTTGTGTTCTTATGGAATTGCAGCACTTATTGGTTATATGAAAAAGTCTTTTAAGTACCGTTCCAAATGAAACCATGAATTTTTATGAAATGAAGACACTGCTAGGATCTTTTCTGCCGACTTATTCTCTATTACTTGCATAATACGGCATTAGCATTATCAATATAGTCAATTCCATATGTGTAATATATTAATTAATCAGCATCTTGTGGATACTCTTCAAATAGTAAGTTGGGTGTGTTGATTAGAAATTCTTGTTTATTCTCTGAATCGCTTTCCTTCTCCATGTTATACCATAATAATAAATCACGCTTCAGATTTGTAACAATATAGAGTTTTAAAACATTAGGATTCGTTTCTTCAGGTTAAGTTATTGGAGGAAATTCTCATCTGATTAAAAGTAAAACCAAATATCTAAACAGAGAATATTTTATAACCAAAAATTAAAAAGAAAAGGTAACAAACCAAATTTGTCATGATTATATCCACATTTGTCGCTCCATTTCTTTTCTTAATACTTTTTTACCTTGAGGTTATTGACATTAATAAAATTTTTTTGACAGTTTTCCATTTTGACTTTAAAACGGTTGCTATGGCAACGCGATACGATGAAAATGACCAATTCTTTCTTTAATGTTTTTGAACATAACCCTAAAATCATTTCATTTAAACATGATAACAAAAATATAAAATAAATTATAAAAACTTACCTTTTGAATCATTTTAAAGTCGATTTGATTAATTGGTATTTCGTATTTAAAAGTTGGTAGCCCTTTTTGTGTTTGTATCAAACTTCATAGTGACGCTTTAATCTGTGTATAACAAGAAGAACAATATAACGTGTATATAAAAGAATTAAACGATTCTAAAAGTATTTCGAATCGTTTAAAACGATTTAAAAGTTGTATTACATAATCATCATTAATAAAACGCACAAGGTTGTTACCAACGTTAAAATAAAATAATGAAATGTCATCAACACCTAACCTTAACCTATAAAAAAAAGTGGTATTGTCTAATTCATTTTTGGAAAAATAATTTAGAATTAAAAGGTGATGTAATAATTTGAAATGAGTCTAAAAATTACAAACACATGTAACGCATGAAAACGTGTTCTTGCGGCGCGAACCAAATCTAGTGTAATAATTCCCGGTCACGTCCGGAAAGAGGAACGATGCGCTGAATTTTAAGTACAAATAGGTGTGTACATTGGGTCCGAGGACGAGGAATCGTCGCAACGCTGCAGGCAAATGGGGACATCTGTAAAACGGTCGCATTTCGACTGCAATAATCCAAATAAAACGAACAATTAATTCCCCGCGGGGTCATCGCCGAGGCGCATAACAACACAAAAAAGAAAACTATTATTGTACCGTTTTGGATTGCGGTTTTGGCCAGGTAAATTTCTTATTTATTAAATGAAACGAAATTAGATAGCGATAATGAAATTGAAACAAATTAAAATTTGTGTTTAATTACATCATTCGACGTAGCGTTCTCCCATTAACCTTCTCGACATTTACCTAACTGGATTTCCCTTCCGACGGAGGTATCTCATAAATCTTGAAATTACCTCCTCTTGCTTCACCTTCGTCTACCCAGTTAAAATTTTCCTAATTCTTCGAGATTGGAAATTAAGCTTAAAACTCGATTTCCGACCGTCGACGTCGAGAAAAGAGGCAAAAGTACCTGGCGCGGAAATAACATCAACTTTGACTGCCTTAAATTTAATTTAAACTAAATGCATATTTAATCAGTACGACACAATGGACCGCTTTCCCTCAGGGGGGATTTCCCTTTGCTTCCCCACCGGAGACACGTCAATTTGAACTAGACAATACGGAAGCACGCCACCCCTCGCGCAATTCCCCATCCCTTCGTATCCTTCAGGGATGCAATGCGTAGCTCACCCAAAGTTAATTATCGCATTACTAAACTCGATGGATTGTTGATGTCTATTCTGATGATGAAATAAATTATTAATACAGTCAAATCTAAGTCTAAACACATCGATAAAAACTATTTATTTACTGAGTTGTAACTAAAAAGGATCGATTCGTGAAAAATAAACATAATAAAACACTTAATTATAATAAATTAATTAAAACTTGACAAGAAATCATTTCTGTCAAAAAATCGAAATGAAAGGAAGGGCTACCAACCTCAATTTTATCAAATTTAAAAATAACTAAATAATATTTTTAATGAAATTATTTATTTAAAATTTAAATTGTTATTAAACTAAAAAATTGAAGTGATAATTACATTAATAAAAGCAAAAATCTTGGTAATTTCTTTTAATCTCAACCCAAGATTAATTAAAGCAAAGATTATTTTAGAAAAGAATTTCAAGTCGATAAAAACTATTTACTTACTGAGTTGTAACTAAAAAGGATCAATTCGTGAAGAATTAACATAATACAACACTTAATAATTAAGATAATTAATAATAAATTAATTAAAACTTGATTAAGTCAAAAAATCGAAATGATAGGAAGGGCTACCAACCTCAATTTTATTAAATTTAAAAATAACTAATTTTTATTAATGAAATTGTTTATTTATAATTTAAATTGTTATTAAACTAAAAAATTAATACTTTTTTTGTAGGTGTTGGAATCGTTTTAATAACCGTAAGCGGAATAGCATGGAAATTAACCTCTCACGATTCCTCAACATGTCGATCCATGCTCGGTTTGGGATCCACCGAATCGGTTGATGCTTGCGCCCGACGTTTCGTGCCGCGATTACCCCCATCTTACGGCCGACCCCATCATCCATACGCAGCGATGATGTACCCAGAATTCCAATATCGCCCACCACCACCAAGTTACCAAGCTTCCATGCAAGAGTACCGCCTAAGACTTCTCCTTTTGGATCGGGGGCACACCCCTCAAATCCAAGCGGGGATTCAAAACGCGGTTTCGCCACCACCGACTTATCGGAGTCACGCTGGAAGTTTATTAAGGTAAATTTGATTAATTTTGTGGTTTAAAGCGATTTATTTAAATTTGTTTTGAATCTTATAGGGCTCCTTTATCAAGTAGAAGAGATGCGCAATCCGAATATAGTTGCCCCCCTTCGTATAGATCGCAAACGTCTTCATCAAATCGTCCAAATGGGGCTAATAACAACACTTTACCGCCATCTTCAGTATTACATAGTAGGGCGCAATCGTTGAGTTTATCCGAATCGAATCACGAATCGGTTAACGTTGTTCTTCATAACGCTGAGGAGGATATCGGGTTGGATAATATCACTTTGGACAGTTTGAAAATGGAACCAGAACCGGAATTGAATCCGTTAAAAATGTTATTGAAAGGGAGTACGAGTGATTTGGAAGGGAACAAAGATGGGAATTTGGTGACGATCGTGCAAACGAGCGATCAAAGCCCGGTTATTGTGACGGTTAGCGGAAGCTCGAATACGGAGGAGTTGAATTTGCAAACCACTGACATTCAATCAGAAATGCAAATTTTAGCCCATTTATAGCTAGAACCAAACAGTTTTTATTGTATTAATTTTTTTTAAGCGAAATCAATTAATGTTATGGGTAAATTAAATTAATACAATCAAAAACTGATTAAATTAACGATTAAAAGAGAGATTGTGAATACTTTTTTTTTGTAAATTCGTGTAAATAATTTATTGTAATAGTAAGTAGATAAATTGCGATTATTATTGTGTTTTTTCTCGTATTTTACCAACCACCAGTGTATATTTTAATGATTAATTCTTATTTCATCAAGTAGAATGGTAAATAAACTTTGTATATTTGAAATACTGTGCCTATACTAAGTAATAAATAAAAAAACTGAGATAATGTAGATATTGTTGTAATATACGCAAACAAATCATATTAAAGATTTTTTTTATAATAAATTAAAAAAATTATAAATGTTGTTTTATTTATATTAATTAAATTGGTAATTTACCTCAAAAATTTTGTTATTAATTTGGCGGGAAATATGAATTTATAATTTTTTCGGCAATATATTCTTAATTAATAATAATTTGAGTTAATTTAAACATAAAATTAATTGTTTATTAGGTGATTAAAAGAAATAAAAATAGTTTTTTGCAACAATTTTATGATTTATTCATGTAAATTATCATTTGTACAGATTTCTATTTTACCGACATATTTTACAGTTCCCTGTAATCGATAATTGTCAAAATAATAAATTTAATAATGTTAATAATAATAAAAATCATTAATTTTAATCCAAACGTATATTTCAGAATAAATCAACACATTTGTATATAAACGGTTCCAAAAAGAAAAAAAAAATAACGTAATTACAATTCACAAAACCGATTTTAAACTTAATGTATCACTGATGTTACAAAAAAAAGTGCGATTTTAACAATTGCAACCCCTTGCAATGAATATTATTAATAATCCAAAGCCCATTCGTTATCTTGGAGGAAGGCATCGACGACTTCTTTCATTGCAAAGTTTGGAATCAGTTGATCTTGTGTTAATTGTACTCTTGTAACCGGATCGAAATGGCCCACGCGCTAAAATTTAACACATTAAGCGCTGTGAAATGAATTAAAAGGGATTTTTTTACTTGTAAATGTTCTTCAATGTCTTTTTTTTCGTAAGTAATCCCACTGGGGGTTATAACCGGTTCTTGTAAGATTTCAAAACTAATTTTTCCACATAAATAATCTGGCACGTCGCGTTTCTATAAATCAAAAATAAATATAAAAAAGAAATTTAAAAAAATAATGATTAGACTTCACTCTTCGTTTTTCTTCAACTTTTGCAAAAAGAGTATTTAATTCTGTAAGATAATTGTCCTAAAACATAATTAATACATCAATTAAATTAATTGGAATAAATTAATAAATAAATTACACATTTTTCTTCAATTTCGTGAATATTCTCTTCTGTAAATGAATTATCTTCTTTAAGATTATTAATCAGTCTATCACGGTCTTCCACAAGTAACTTATTGAGATATGTTTGCAATTCAATCTCTTGAGCAATCCTTTTTTCCTCTTGTATTGTAAATCGTTTCTTCCTAGCCATGCGTAATAATGCCGCAATATCGTCACCGTAATTTAATTTCTGTTCTTTTGATAAATCGAAAGCTCTTTGTAAATGTTTAACCGCTTCGTCGTAATTTTCAGTTTCAAGGAGAGCTTGTCCCAGAAAAAAGTGTCCTTTTACCAGATTTTGATCCATATCTAACGCCCTGCGACAATCTGTACAAGCTTGATCGTATTTTAATAATTTTAAATAACATAATGCTCGATTTGTGAAGTAATGGGCAATATCTGGATTTTTAATCTAAAAAAAAAAATAATAAATAAAATTTTTTTTATTAACATGAAGTTAGCTTCAAATTTTGACATGAAGTGTCAAAACATGATTTTACTTAATATTGTTGATTTTAATTAATTAATTAATTATTAATAACTTACTATGGCTTTACTATAACAATTCACAGCATCTTCATATTTACGAAGACCAAAGAGTCGGTTTCCTTGTTCTTTGAGTTCTTTATCGGACAAATTAGCAGTTGAATACATGTATTTGCTCATTTTAACGAATTATTATTCTAAGTTAGTTTAGATGGCACACTTTAAGCACTGGATGTTTCTAAGATACTGTTAAACTATTTTTAGTTAACGGAGTAAACGTTGAAACTGTGATGGGTAATAATGTTATTCATCGTTTTATTTTTATTAGGTTCATTCCGTTTGATGATTTAACATAATTTGGGGGATTTTTTATCAAACTTTCAACTGAATTGTTGAGAGAAAACAATTTTTGCATTCACGACACGCACAAAATCAATGATGGGGAATTTTGTGTTTCTATTTTATTTAGGGGAATTTATTTTCCTTTGGAAGTGTTGGTATGAACGGACACGGTAAGTATTCTTTCAAAATGTCATTAATAGATGGAGCGATTTGAGTAATAATAATTAATTTAATATTTATTTTAATTTGTACTTAATTTCGATGTAAATAAATTATTATTAAGAAAATTAATTTTACCTAACCTGTAATGATAAAAAGACGATGAAACAGGAATTTAAACAATTATAATCATAACCTAAACTCAATTTTATATATTTTTTCTTCATTTAGTTATTGGAACTAAAAAGATGTTGAGAAAAGTCGTAATAATTATTTAAGTATAATCTTAACAATTAATCTTACCTGAATTTATTTAAAAAATCGTCTTTTCTTGAAAAATCCTTCGAAGAAATTTGATCTGACGTATTGACGTTTAATTTTCGTACCAACCTAAAATTTTGTTACAAAAAAAAAACGTAAAATTTATTAACTTAATTTAACAATATGAGAATATTTTGCTTAAAAAAAAATTCTTATAACCTAAAAGATTGATAAAACATACTTTACTAATAAAGTTGATAAATTTAAATGTAAATAAATTATTTTTAAAAGTATCCAACTCAATATACAGCTGACAGAACTAATTTATTATTAGAACTAAAAAGATATTGAGAAATCATAATAATTATTTAAATATACGATGAAGAATAAATTTAATCTTCCCTTAATTTATTTAAAAAATCGTTTTGTCTTAAAAAATCCTTCGAAGAAACTTCACTCGATCTGACGTTGACATATTCACGTTTAATATTCGTACCAACCTAAAGCGGGAAATTAAAAAAAGCGGGAAATTCAAAAAATTGAAATCAAATCAATCAATTTGACATACATTTTTATTTGAGATATTCATCTAACGATTTCTCTTAATAGGTAACCATGTGAAGACTGAGTTTCTCGTCGATAAATACTAGCGCATCTAAAAATACTATAATTTACACGGACTTTTTTTCCGTATTATTACAAAAACGGGCCGCATGTAATAAAAAAAATCTCGCGTAAACCTTTTTTTTTGATTTTTTGATTAACAAAAAACAACTTTCAACTTAGGAATTTGACTTTATCAAGAAGTTTTACTTTCAAAGAGAATTCATTTTTTGAAACGTCTTCGAAAGCATAACAAATAACAATTAATTAACTAGGACCTTAACAAAGATATGTCGATTTCTATTTTATCTTTTTTTTTACTTTTTTCGATTGTCCCCAAATCTTTATATTTTTTACATTCTCGTTTTAATCATTATAGGTCATAATCTTTTTTTTTTTATTAGCTTAATACTAAGCGACAAAGTCAAATTCTTTATTCATCTTAGGCCAGTTTAAAGAAAAACGATGAGTTCTTCTACATCTTAGATGTGTTTTTCTAGATTATACTTCTAGTTTTTTTTGTATAGACATTTTTTCGTTCTAGACATTTATTTATTTTATTTTTTTTAAGTCTGGCGTGATTATTTTCGTTATTATTTTTGGTTCACGTTCGTCATGTAAAAGAATAAAAAAGAACTAGGCTCTATATCATGTACAATAGCAAAAATCACGGTTTTTTTTCGCATCCACATTTACACGTTCAATAGTTTTTGAATATATTAATAAAATTGTTGTAAAAAAGTATTTATATGCAAAATTTAAATTTATACTTTCACACCAACGCCATCTCTTGTTGATTAGCTGTTTCAAATAATATTTAAATCAATTCGGTATTATCGACAAGGAACAATAACTATTAATATTTGTTAAATGTTATCTCAATACGAAACACAATATTTACTTAACAATTATTGACATTTCTAACGTATTAAGGGACATCTCAAACGTCAATAAGTCATTTTGTACTTTTGACATTTCCAACTTAATAAATGTCATTTCTTACATAAATGGTACTTTATACGATAAAATATTATTTCTTACTTTTTAATAGTTCTCCGTTGACAATCATCTTATATCTTCTTCGTTTTGTTTCTTAACCTTTCATTTTGTATGAATGTAAATAAACGGGTAACACAAAACTTCGTTTTAACCTAAAATTTTTGACAAGTTGATAAGTTAGATTTCTAATTAATCATAAATTGGATACATTCCTAAATCCCGCTGTCAATAAATTAATTTTACAACAATTTTATTAAATACTCATCTTATTCATATTTTTTTTGTATTTCTTTATTCTAGTAATAAATTTAGGACCCACTTTTTATTAGTTTTTTAAACTCCGACTCAGCCTTAGTAAAGTTATAGGTATTTTTTCGTTTACAGTAAAATCAGCTTATTTTTAAACGTTTCAGCTATTATTTTATTGGTTTTCGCGCAACACACAGTTTTATTCGCCTCAATTTTATTAAAAACTATGATTAACGAGTACTTAAATGTTTCCATTTTTATTTTTTCGTTAAACATTACATATACATTTTTCTCGTTAATTTCTTTACAGATTTCTTTAAACACTGATTATTCCATTTTTTGGTTTCTTGTATATATTCTTTTTTTTAGTATTTTTTGTTACCCTGTATTACATATAGTTACATCAGAAGCGGTTATTATTATTAATTAAATAGTTGCTATCTTTTTATCAATAAAGATCGGAGTCGTGGGTCCTTTTTTTAATTAATTAATTTATGAATTAGGATTCGTTAGGATTTTTCGTGCCAATTCCTTATTGTTTATTGTAAGTTGGGTTATGATTTATGATTTATTTTAAATCTTAATGACAACGTTTTTTTTTGAAACACATTTTTTGACTTTTTTTTGTTATCAATGAGATTTAAAATAATCAATTTAAAATAGCACCTAAAATACACCGTATTTTTATAAATACTTCTTATTTTTCCTATTTTTTTCCACCATCTAATTGTAAAGGGCTCAACAAAATCTCACTCACACCTTTATTTAACTGATTATTATTCTGTCTCACTCCTTTATTATTAACAATCTCATCATTTCTTCTTTCACCATCAACAGCACTTTCGTTCACGATAGCACCTGAATTCATCGTTGTTGTCACTAAATCAACAACAAGACAAGAAGCTTCATCGCATTCATCACTGTTATTAAATCTATTTTTATTATTCGTTTGAGTTGGTTGATGGACGATCGAAAATTGTTCTTCTTGCACTTGAATGACGTTTTTGGTCTTTTTCTCCGAGTGACGATTATTAATAATATTGTTATCGTCGGTTTCGCTGCCGCTCGATACGGATTCGATTTCGAATGTAGCTTCGAAATTTTGGAGTTCGATGAAGGAATTGTCGGGCGACGGTTGTCGATGGGTGACGCAATTGAATTCGGCGAGATCCGGTATGGAAATGAGTGGGATTTCGGGAGGCTTTTGTGTAGCGTGGGTGATGATTTCGTCTTCAACGTAAATTATCGGTTCCTTAAAAAAAATTATTTAAGATATATTATATTAAAACAAATTTTAATCATTTATATACAGTGTGTTAATTAATTATCGTACCTGAGTATGCAACCAATATCACAGTATTCAGTTGTCAATGTCAACTTTAATTTTATTATTATATTCGTAATCTTCATAAAAAATCCTTTAAAATGAGTCCAAACTCGATATATTTAACTTTAAAATTAATGGAGATACAATCACTTCCGGTTTGAAACGTCAACGTCAATTTTGACATATTTGTTATCTTCATTAAGAAACTTTTAAAATAAGTCCAAACGTGACGCACTTATCTCAAAAAACAAAAAAGTTGGAATAAAAAACGTTAAACCCGAAGTTAGCAACAATTTAATTTTTAAATATTAATACCAACCTTAATTTTTTATTATATTTTTGTTTTTGTAACAAAGATTAAGACATTTAATAAAAATTAAGAATGTCAAAGTGACATTGACATTTCAAACCGGAAGTTGCTTATATCTCGAGTAATATAATTAAACGTATCATGTTTGGACTCATTTTAAAGGATTTTTCACGACGATTACAAATATGTCAAAATTGACGTTGACATTCTTAACCGGAAGTTGACCATAACGTCATTAATATTGAAGATAAATATGTCGTGTTTGTACTCATTTTAAAGGATTTTTAATGAAGATTACAAATATGTCAAAATTGAGGTTGACATTTTAAACCTGAAGTTAGTTATCATATAATAGAAGTTTTATAACTGAAATTAATTTAGTGTTCGTCACTTTTCCGCACTCTTTTTATTTTTAACCGATCAGAACAGTGTTGAGATATATCGATTTTGATACCATAGATATAGATGATGTTGAGGATGTACAAGTGTGATATTCCAGGATATTAGGGACAATGCTGAGTGCTATCAAGGACAATGTTTACTGAACCTTACGTTGATGTTGATTTTGCCATAGGCAAGATGGAGGACGGCCAAGAACGATACTCATCGCTATTAGGAAAAATGTTGAAAGATATTTGAAATGATATTGGCGCATACAAGGGATGCTTAGAGATATTAAAAAATCCCATAGATGATGTTGAGGATGTCCAAGTGTGATATTCCAGGATATTCCAGAAAAGGTTGAGTGACCCAGGGAGACTAATAAATTGAAAGGGATGATGAGATCAATGGGGACATACTTTGAAAGCAAGTATTTGGAGGTGAACGTTGAAAAAAAAAATCTGCAATTATAGGAAACGAAAAGGCAAAAAAAGGGGATGGAAAGAGGGAGATGTGGATGAGGTAAGGAACTTTACGTACTTGGGTTTTGCCTTTCAAGCGGATAATGGGGTGGGAACTCATGTTAGGCAAAGAGTTAGAAAGACAAGTGGACTATTGCAGAAATATTGCAAGTAGGTCGAGCAAAGAGACTCCGGGACATACAGGGTGTTTCTGTGAACTAATTTAGAAGAATGAAATTTGACAGATAACTGTTGCTAATAAAATGGCAGTTTTTGACGATTTTTGTTTGCATCAGACAAGGGGAAGATGAGATAACAGAGGATGAGGTGGAGACAGTATTGGGGGGATTGAAGAAGGGAAAGGCACACGGAGAAGATTGGAGGTAAGAGAGATATTATAGATGGCGTTGAGCAAGGTATGGAAGAGAGAAGGGTTTCCGAAGAGGTAGATGACGGCGATAATAAGATAGAGAACTGGATCATGATGTACGGGGTGATGATATGAAGATGAAAGGAGCAAGGGCTCTTAGAGGATGTGCCTGGAGTCTTTACACCATCTACTGGTGGAAGTGTAGTGAGTTGAGGGAGGAGGTGATGGATTGGCGACACGTGTTGGGGGAGAGGACGGAGGGAAGAAGATGGATGGGGAAAGTGGTGCCAGCAAGGAGACGTAGGGAGACAGGAAGAGGCTGGGGAAAGGGGTAGGATTTAGATTAGTTATGGATAATGTTGTTCTTTTTTGTAATATTGTAATCTTCTGGAGACAATAAATTAGAACTTTCAATCAATCTGCAACATTTTATCCTAAAATTGTTAGTTTAATCACAAAAAAATAAAATAATGCACAGGTTCATTTGACATAATTCAAAGATTGGTTATTATTTATTTAGAAAAATCAAGTAGGCTGATGTCAAATGACGTTATAACGACAAATTATTATTCAGATTTTCTTCTAAATTCTTCCATACTGGATATATTAAATAAAACAATTTTTTTTCCTAACTTTAAAAGGTTGTAACTTACAGGGGAAGGAGTTTTGAACAAAAAATTACATGATTTTTATTGATAAATCATCCTTTAAAATTTTTCGCATCAATTTAGAAACACTCTGTATAGTGAGAAAGGAGTTGAAACTGACGAAGATAAGGTTGGAAGCGTTTTGGGAAGGTTTATGGGTGGTAATATAATACAACTTATTTTTATAGCCAAGCTGAATGAGCATATTTTGATTGAAAGGAGAAAAAACATTTTTTAATAAGAGTGCTCCTATTTCATTCAACGTTTAACTGCCACCAAAACGAGATATATAATGATGTAGTGTAGTGTTACACTATTAGTCCTGGTAACAATAGCCGTGTGTCAGTAAAAATTACATTCACTAACTTGTTTAGAACTAAGCTGGACATCGAAAATAAAGTTTTATAAAAAAATAAACTTACATTCATAGTACTAGTACTTGGTACAGCATGACTAGTACCTGCCGCAATCGAAACCTTTTTATGATTCGATTTTTGCCTCATCAACGACGCTTGTTCAACCGGAACGAAGTCTTTCCGTCGATCGCGTTTCTTCGGATTCCTATTATTCAACATACCGTGCGTCGCGCACGCATCTTTTTTTCTCGTCTTTTTCCGCCGTCGCAAACACGTCGAGGGACACGTGCATAACAACACGCGAATGACGCAACAAAGTAAACCGCATGCCATCAGGGTCGGTCCGATCAATCTTAATTCGACCGTTTTAAAACCTTTGTCGCCGGTTCCCACGAAGAAAATCACGCTCCCTATCGCCATCGTTCCCAAACCGACGTAAAGAAGCGCGTTTGCCGCAGCACTTTGTTGGTAGACGTTGAAAATGTCTTCTTCGTCGCTACTACCACCAAAACCAGTGTCGTGAATCTATAAAAAAAAAATTATTAAATTAATTAGTATTTAAGCAAGTATGCAACCAAATATGCAAATCGCGTATTGCAATACAGGTAGTGTGATATTGGTTGCATACTTTAGTATAAAATTTTTTTATTGTTATTTCTTACTCTGTTTCTTTTCATCCATCGGTGATGGGCTTCTGATTGTTTCAGGCGGTGTTGTTTGGCGTTTCCCGAGAGCGAACAGCGCCTTCGTTCCCTTTCCTGCCAAGCTGCCCTTCCCTGTGAACACTACACAGAAAAAAATTAACTAAATATAAACTAATTTTGGTTTAAACGAAAAAATCCGATTTGGGTATGTTATTAATTCTTAAAAACATTTACATTTTCTTCAAATAAAGTAAAATCTAGAAATCTCGTTGGGTGTTGAAGCCAGAAAAAAGTATTTTTGTCACCTTTTAGGTCATTTTTATTTATTGCTACCTCATACACGTTGTTAATATTTCACGCGTCTTGCATATGGATGCGAGTTTTCCCCGATATATTGCGTGACTTGGACCCGTTATGTGGCGTGCCAACCGTTGGAAATCCATGGAATACAAAAAAAGCTCTTCTTATCGGCTACGTCACGGCAAAACAACAACTACAAAAATATCTGTTGAACTAGAATAAAATTAAATCTGTATATAGTTTTTTTTATCAACTTTTAATACTTTGTTGTTGTTAAATACTTTTTTTTTTAGGTTACGATCATTATTTAGCCATTAAATAAAGGTGTTTTCTCGACCAGAACGCATAACGACGTTCCTCCCGATAATCAATAGTTGGATGAAGGGTTCGAGGTTGGAATTGTTCGCGGTAAATGCATTAGCAGTTCCGTTAAAGTGTCCCACAGGCTTCCTGTTCGAATTATTAACCGGTTTACCTACCTATTATTACTAAATTTGCTTCCGTGTATATTACAAAGTCCATTCCAACATCAATTTAGTTTTGCTTTCTTGTTGATTAACTTCGGTTCTAATTACATTAAAAATAATTTCAAAATTAAAACCAAATTAGGTTAAAATTCGAGAACGGGAAGTTTTAGAGTTCTGAAAACAACGTTGACCTTTAGCTTTGTTGCGGTTTTTCACGTTCCAACCTTAAACGTATCGATTCGTGGCTGTTTTTAAAGGTTAATATCATTAGGAGTTTATTATGTTATTTGCTAAATTATCTTTTTGAACAATAAATTGTAATAATTGAACCGCGTTTTTAAAAAATCTTGGTAATTTCTTTTAATCTCAACCCAAGATTAATTAAAGCAAAGATTATTTTAAAAAAGAATTTCAAGTCGATAAAAACTATTTACTTACTGAGTTTTAACTAAAAAGGATCAATTCGTGAAGAATAAACATAATAAAACAGTTAATAATTAGATGATTAATAATAAATTAATTAAAACTTGATTCTGTCAAAAAATCGAAATGATAGGAAGGGCTACCAACCTCAATTTTATCAAATTTAAAAATAACTAATTTTTAGGAAAATATTATTAATGAAATTATTAATTTATAATTTAAATTATTATTAAACTAAAAAATTGAAATGATAATTACATTAATAAAACCAAAAATTTTATTATTATATTCGTAATCTTCATAAAATAACCTTTAAAGTGAGTCTAAACTTGACGCATTTATCTCAAAAAACCAAAATGTTCGAACTTTCAACTTTTAATTTTGACATATTTGTCAACTTGATAAAAAATCCTTTAAAATGAGTCCAAACTAGACATATTTAACTTTAATTTCAATGCAGATACAATCACTTCCGGTTTGAGACGTCAACGTCAATTTTGACATATTTGTCATCTTTATTAAAAAACCTTTAAAATGAGTCCTAATGTATAGAATTAAATATTAATCAACAATAAATTTGGCTATTTAACTTAAGCTAAAAGAAAATTTCTAACGATAAAAAAATACATACATTACTTACCCAAGATCCTGGAGGATATTGTGGAAAAGGGGCGATATCCTTGGTGGCCACATGACTCGGTAATTCCGATCTGCGTCTAAATTTTTTTGACCTAAGACGCTGTTTCTCTCTGATTAACAACGCCGCCTGCATTCCTGCTGATACCGCCGTGCTCATATACAGAAAATCAACTTGGTAAACATTTAGCCACGTCTTGATCACCACATTTTTATTATTTTTTAGTACTTTTTCCAGCCATTTTGAAATATTTATATTTATAATTTTGATACTTTTGTAGGGTTTATTTTAATCAGAGTATGAAAATATAAATTTTCTTCTTCTACTTCTTCATTAATTTGTTTTTCTTTAAATCTTATTTAATAACTCGGTGTATAACATTTTTATTTTTATTTATTTCTTTTTGTTTTATAAGGTGTATAATAATTTTGATTCTCGTCGTTTCATTTCTTGTTGTAAACTAATATCTACGTGGACTTTCAATATTACAGAGTTATCTTTTGTAGTTATGATATGTTCCGTGATTTTTTCGATTCTAAAGAATAACGGTATATTGGTCATATTATAGGTGATGGCCCCACGTTGAATTAGTTTGTATCCCATTTTTATGTATTTTTTTTATTTTATTCTATCCTGGATCTAATCTCTTAATCATTTTTTATCTCACTCCCCAACTCACAGTGGTAGTACTTATGGTGATAATAAAACGACGTTTTTCGTAAATTCAATTTCTGTTTAAAACAAATTTTTTCTTTGTTAACATCAACAATCAAAAAAATAAATCCTTTTCGATACCTTTTTATTTGTAGGAAGCCTTTTAATTGGTTATACCCAACGATTAAAGTAAAAGTACCTTCATTTTTCAAATACAGTAAAACCTCGATATAAAAACCAAGTATTTTGTCAAAAAAGAGTTTCAAGTCGATAAAAATAATTTACTTACTGAGTTATATCGATTCGTGAAGAATAAACATAATGAAACATTTAATAATTAGATAATTAATAATAAATTAATTAAAACTTGATTCTGTCAAAAAATCGAAATGATAGGAAGGGCTACCAACCTCAATTTTATCAAATTTAAAAATAACTAATTTTTAGGGAAATATTATTAATGAAATTATTAATTTATAATTTGAATTGTTATTAAACTAACAAATTGAAGTAATAATTACATTAATAAAACCAAAAATCTTGGTAATTTCTTTTAATCTAAACCCAAGATTAATTAAAGCAAAGATTATTGTGGAAAAGAATTTCAAGTCGATAAAAACTATTTACTTACTGAGTTATAACTAAAAAGGATCGATTCGTGAAGAATAAACATAATAAAACACTTAATAATTAGATAATTAATAATAAATTAATTAAAACTTGACAAGAAACCACTTCTGTCAAAAAATCGAAATGATAGGAAGAGCTACCAACCTCAATTTTATCAAATTTAAAAATAACTAATTTTTATTGAAATATTATTAATGAAATTATTTATTTATAATTTAAATTGTTAAATTAATGTGTTATTGTTATTTTAACAAAGTGTCTTTTTAAATAAATATATTTGACGTCATTTTATATTTGCAAATTTGACAATATTTTCTTTAATACCTTTTTTCTGAAAATTTTATTAATATTATCATACAGTTTTTATATCATATCATAAACTAGAATCCTCAAGCTTTAATTTAACATATACATCATATCATTACCATTAGAAATAGAGATGATATGATTTTTTGAAAATCTTACGTCATTTTATATTTGCAAATATGACAGTCTTTTCTTTAATACCCTTTTTCAGGAAATTTTATTAATATTATCATATAGTTTTTATATCATATCATAAACTAGGATCTCCAAGCTTTAATTTAACATATACATCATACCATTACCATTAAAAATAGAGATGATATGATTTTTTGAAAATATGTCATTTTATATATGCAAATTTGACAGTGTTTTCTTTAATACCTTTTTTTCAGGAAATTTTATTAATATTATCATATAGTTTTTATATCATATCATAAACTAGAATCTCCAAGCTTTAATTTAACATATACATCATACCATTACCATTAAAAATAGAGATGATATGATTTTTTGAAAATATGTCATTTTATATATGCAAATTTGACAGTGTTTTCTTTAATACCTTTTTTTCAGGAAATTTTATTAATATTATCATATAGTTTTTATATCATATCATAAACTAGAATCTCCAAGCTTTAATTTAACATATACATCATATCATTACCATTAAAAATAGAGATGATATGATTTTTTGAAAATATGACGTCATTTTATATTTGCAAATTTGACAGTGTTTTCTTTAATACCTTTTTTCAGGAAATTTTATTAATATTATCATATAGTTTTTATATCATATCATAAACTACAATCTCCAAGCTTTAATTTAACATATACATCATATCATTACCATTAAAAATAGAGATGATACGATTTCTTGAAAATATGATGTCATTTTATATTTGCAAATTTGACAGTGTTTTCTTTAATACCTTTTTTCAGGAAATTTTTTAGGATTAATTAGGGTCTTATTATGTAGTGACAGTTTTAGTGTAAAACTAGAATTACCACTATACCTAGAACTAGAATCATTCGGGTTTAACCGTCTTAAGAGACGTGCGGCTAAACCCGAATGTTTCTAGTTCTAGGTCTAGTATTAGTTCTAATGCTAGTGTTAGTTAGTAATATCGAGGTTTTACTGTACATACATTATAAAAGAAAACTCGAACATGCAATTTAAACGGACGATTTTGAAATTGGGTCAGACGTTTACCAAGTCGGGGTTAAATAAGGCATGCGAGGTTTTAATAATTAATTCGCGGGGCACTTTGCGTCGTCGACTAGCTATAACTCGGTAACGCTGGCGAAAGCTCAAAGCTCGGACCCGGTTACGTCCTCGGAACTGAGTTATGGCAACGTATAAAGGCGCGACCGTTAAAACGAAACGAACGCAAATCTTTAGTTGGTCGAATTGTTAATTGGAAGTACACACAAAGTGGAAAATTTATTTAACGGAAAAGTTTTAACTCCCTTTTTTTATTCGAGTGTAAATTGTGTGCTTTGAAATGTGATAAACAACATTGACATGTCTCGAGGGTGTTCCAAAATAACATAACCAAATCGTTTTACTCATAATAAAAAAATGTTACCTCACTAAACGGATAATCCCAACTACCAAACGTCGATTTATCATACTCCGTATAATAAGTAGTTCCAACGTTATTCTCCCAAGCTTTCTCCTTAATTTCAAAGTTACAAATATGATTGCATCTATCCAAAACGTTCCCTCCACCACCACCCTCCGTGGTAACCTTCTCCATTTCCTCCACTTGCCGCACGAAACTGCATCTTCTCTCCAACGACGATTTGTCTCCTCCTTCCGGTATCGTAATCTGTGGTAATTGACTTTGAACCGAAGGTGAATGTGGCACCGGAACGTGATTTTGTTGAACTAACGTACACGGACTTAAAGGTTGTACTGAATCCTTTTGGTTTTGATGGTGATGATGATGATTTGGAACAACTGGGATACATATTGAAGGACTTTCCCGGATTCGAGCTCTCGATGGTTCTTTTAAATGATAATTCGACGTGCTGTGTCTTCGTTCGTGAGGCGCCGCTTGTGGTGGTTTTAACGCGTTTCGTTCAACTCGAGATAGTTTCGGAACGTTTTGGTCGGTGTAATTATGAAATTGTTTTGCTTGAGGTGGTTTTGGTATTAATTCAGTTGCCTTTTGACTCGCTTTTTGTAATTGGGCTTTTTTATTTTGTCTTTGACGTTGTCGTGCTTGACGACTTGCTAAACTTGCACCACCAGCTGCTGCGTACATTTTGAAATTTTTTTCTTTTTAACTTAGACTATATGATTCAACAATTATTATTAACAACTTTTTTTATTTCCTTAGTTGTCTTGAAGAAATTGTGCGTTTTTTATTTAAATATTGTATTTTTTTCTTCGTTTCTTTGTACTTTTTTTTTTATAAAAAGTGAAAATTTCACAACAATTTTCTTTTATTTATTCCTTTTTTATTATTTCGGAGAAATCGAGTTTAAATTTTGATTTAATTTTGATTATCCAGTTACGTTTTTAATTCTTCTCCCGTCCCAATTTTTTGCGCGCCCCGTTTTAAGTTTGATTTTGGCGCATTTCAACTTTACTGATTTGATTCCGGGCCAGGTCATCTTAATCTTCGAGTTTCTTCAAAAATACAAGCAACCGTCGATTTCATGGTTGTTATTATTTTGCTTCTTTTAAACGTTTTCAAAACGATTCCGACATCATCGCTTCTTCGCAACCGATTAAATCAAAATAAAATTTTTTCGATATTGAAATTCTTGGAAACATCTAAATATTAAAAAAAATGTTTTAATTTTAAATCTCATTCAAAATCGACCTTATACTTTGCAAGAATACGCAATAAGTAAAACAAAAATCGATGAATAAATAAAATCGATCGATTCAATAAGAACATTCCGAGACGGAAGTGAGATAACGAGAAAAAGATCTCGCAGAACGAACGAGGTGGTTAAAAAGATGTGGAAATTGCGTTTGGAAACTGAGCGATTCATTTCGCGAGGCGCTCGATGACCCAGTACACTTTGACATTCAACCTTTCTCGGTCATATTGCATCCCGAACTATTCCACAAGGGATTCAGAAAACCCTAAAGTACTCTTATTAATTTATTTTTTTTTCTTTTTGGAACGTAAAAGGAATTTATTAAGATCATCGTAATCTTCAAAATCCTTTTAATTGCTTTTTGCAAACATAAAAAGGTATTTAATTAATTATTAAAAAAACTGAAAGAAACTGAAAAGAGACTAATAACAGAAGAAAGAAATTGAATAAAAATTGGGAAAAGGACTGGATTGGGAAGACAGAGACTAGAAAAAGACCATAAAAGCAAAAAAGATACTAGACATAGAGGAAGACATACTGGAAAGAGACTATTAAGCTGATAAAAACAAGAAGAATTGTCGATCATTTCAAAAATTTATTTCTCAAAAACTAAAAGCGATTTTTCAAAACGGCTTGTTGCATTAAAAAGAGGATACTTTAATTAATAATTGGTGATATTTCCACAAGGATCCTTCAAGGAATCAATTTTATACCGAATTTTGAAAGTTATCGATGAAAATTGCAACATCGAAAATTTTATCGAAACTGCAATATTGTTTTCTCAAAAACTAAAAGTTATTTTTCAAAACGGGTTAGTTCATTGGAAAGAGGACACTTTTATTAACACTTTGGGAAATTTTCATACTCATATCCAAAAAAATCGATTTTATACGAATTTTTAAAACTTAATCGGCGAAAATTGCAAAATTCGAANAAAATTTGATAAGAAACCGTTTCTGTCAAAACATCGAAATGATAGGAAGGGCTGCCAACCCCAATTTTATCAAATTTAAAAATAACTAATTTTTAGGGAAATATTATTAATGAAATTGTTTATTTATAGTTTAAATTGTTATTAAACTAACAAATTGAAGTAATAATTACATTAATAAAACCAAAAATCTTGGTAATTTCTTTTAATCTAAACCCAAGATTAATTAAAGCAAAGATTATTGTGGAAAAGAATTTCAAGTCGATAAAAACTATTTACTTACTGAGTTATAACTAAAAAGGATCGATTCGTGAAGAATAAACATAATAAAACACTTAATAATTAGATAATTAATAATAAATTAATTAAAACTTGACAAGAAACCACTTCTGTCAAAAAATCGAAATGATAGGAAGAGCTACCAACCTCAATTTTATCAAATTTAAAAATAACTAATTTTTATTGAAATATTATTAATGAAATTATTTATTTATAATTTAAATTGTTAAATTAATGTGTTATTGTTATTTTAACAAAGTGTCTTTTTAAATAAATATATTTGACGTCATTTTATATTTGCAAATTTGACAATATTTTCTTTAATACCTTTTTTCTGAAAATTTTATTAATATTATCATACAGTTTTTATATCATATCATAAACTAGAATCCTCAAGCTTTAATTTAACATATACATCATATCATTACCATTAAAAATAGAGATGATATGATTTTTTGAAAATTTGACGTTATTTTGTTTTTGCAAATTTGACAGTGTTTTCTTTAGTACCGTTTTTCAGGAAATTTTATTAATATTATCATACAGTTTTTATATC